AATTATCCTATTGTCTAACTTTACATATATTGCAGTGAGACATATGTCTGTATTTGGTAAACATTGGTACGACTGCCTCTTGAATGGTTACAGGTCTTTTTACTTTATTCTTTTATTATTATTTCTATTACTGATTGTTCTTTTATGTGATTTGGACTCTGAGTCTGCAGTTAATTAAGTCAGTCAGTGTAAAACTTATAACAGATCAGTAGCCTTCACCAAACCACCAACATTCAGTTTCAGGTTCTTACCTTTACTGTGGTTGTATCAGAAAGTCCATCAGGATCTGTGGCCTTCACCTCCATTGAGACGGTTTTTCCACCCAGATCTGCTACTGACACCACATACAGCAGACCTGAAGCCGGTTCCACGTCAAAGGAGGAGTTTCCTCCTGGAAGACTGTAGACCAGACGACTGTTGTCTCCGACATCAGGGTCTGAGGCCTGAAGGTGGGCAGGAAGAAAGAAAAGTCCTTAATGGTGCTGCAGATTATGTGTTCAGATGAGGCTTTGCTTTTTGAAAATAACAACCGTTAAGCAGGCATTAAACAAACCCAGACTTCTGTATTAAAGCCTCTTCTCCTTTGCCATCCTTGTCCAATGTTTGTCCCATATTAGTAACTGGCTCTCCAGTAACATTTTGGTTTTAAACACCAGTAAAACAGAGACTCTAATTATTGCTCCCAGCCACTTTGTGCCAAAAAATCAGCCAATCACCTCTTTCTGCCCACTAACAAAATCAAAGTTAAAAAATCTAGGTGTCACATTTGACTTATTATCAGGCTTCGAGTCACTTTGAGTCTTAAGTTAGTAATACTGGTCCATGTATTTTCAGGCAGTTAATTTTTTCGTTTGAAATGAAAAATGAGAAAACGAAAATAGACTCGTTTTTCGTTTATCAAACCCAAATCAGAAATTGGATACTGTTTCCCAGTCTTGTTTCTTTAATCTAAGAAACATTCCTACAATGACACATGTGCTCTCCAGAGTTGACCTAAGAAAATTATTCATGCTTTTGTGTCATCGTGTCTGGACGACTGTAACGTCTTTTTATCCTTGATTTCATGTTTGCAATCAATACAGAACGCTGTATTTTACTTACTGCCTCTGAGGAAGATAATTAAGTCTTAACAGCTGTGATAACTGAGAAGGAGCTGAGTGGAGAAATCTCCAGGCTGAGGGCACACAAGTCTCTGGACCCAGACAGCTGAGCTGTTTCCTTGCCTTATAAAGGCCTGCAATGCTGCCTTCACAGACTCAAAGTGGCACACAGACTCTTTGCACTCTTTCCCTCACAGACTCAGAGATGCCACCAACCTGGAATGAAGCTGCTGTCTCTACTGTTCCCAAGCAGACAAAGGGCCATTCAGAGCGCCGTGCATACAGAACTATTTCAGAGCTGAATGTCGATTAGAAGTTATTTACAACCATCCTTGCTAAGAGACTAGTGTTGCCTCAGTTATATGTGATAAGGAGCTCAATGTGTTGTGTACAGATGAGGAAGATGTGTTGACAGCGATCCTCCGGCCAGAAGGAGGCGCTGCGTGTCATAAGGTAGGACGATAGAGTAGGTTTGTATGCAGATGATATTTTGATATATGATGGCAGAAGCCAAGATGGCGCCCGTGTTTGAGGCTTGCCGCCTGACGCTCCTCCTGTTTTGCCGTTGTCTGCTGTCCCCTTTTATTTTTATTACAAGTGTAAACTCTCTGATTGTGTATGATCGCCAAACATTGCTGGGCACTGGAGCCTCGACTGGAAATATGTTATCGAGGAATTGTACTACAGACAAAACCTCGACCCTGCTGTTGGGCATTCCAGCTCACTTGTTTCGTTTCTGGACTCTACATTTCTGGTTTATTTCTCTCTCTCTCCATATATCCTAAATAATTCACACGTACATAGTGGTATGCACTTTTGTTTTGTTTTTCTTCTGTTTTTCCTGTACCATTCTTAGTTGGTTTATATCTTATTCATGTAAATAATAAAAACATGATACAAATGATCAGAGGATATTTCTACTCTTTAAGTTGTAACTCTGTATTGACTGAACAAATAAAGAATTAATAAAAATAAATATAAACGATAAGCTTCCTGAACATTCCTGATGCAGATTGTTCACATATTAACCACTTTAATGGTGGGAGGGTTTCAGGTCAAAGTACGCAGCCAGGTGTTTATGGCCTTTACAGTAAATGATCTGCAATCTTACATCAATGTGGAGATAAACAAGTTCAGAAGCACATTTTCCAACAGCTGATAGGAGGAGTTTACCTTCACTTGGATGACTGGGGTTTTGTACGATAGGAGGAGTTTACCTTCACTTGGATGACTGGGATTTTGTACGGGGCGATGCTGAACACAGAGGCTTCATAATCGTCTGAGGAGAACGCTGGAGGCTCGTTTACATCCTCCACCTGAATTCTGACCTGAGAGACAAAAAATGTCCATTTGGTTTGTATGAAAGCAACGATAAAGAGAGTTTGTGATGACAGCTGTGTGATGTTGTTGTTACCATGGCCACTGCTGAGGTAGGAGGCGTCCATGTGGTCACAGCCTCCACATCCAGGATGTACCACTCCTGCTCCTCCTTGTCCAGCTCTTTTGTGGAAACGATGGAGCCATCGCTGTCGATGGAGAACAGGTCTTTGTGTGTTCTCAGTTCGTAGGAAACGTTGTACAGGTTGCTTCCTGCGGAGGCTTGGACCTGCCCCACGAAGGCCCCCGAATTCTGGTTCTCTTTCAGGCTGAAGTTGTAGGAGGAGCTCTGGAACGCCAGACTGGCATTCATGATGTTCACCACAACACGAGCTGCAGGATGGAACCACAGATATCATTATTCCCTCTTATAATAGACATGTTGCAGTTTATGAAAAAATGTCATGGATGACCACAACATTAGAGGATAAAAAGATGATTCTTTTACTTGCCATTCAGAGCAAAAATCTCAAGATTCTGCAACAGTTTTGAAAAATCCTGAGTTCAGTGGTGAAACCAAATTATGCAACACATCATAATCTGTGATCGCAGCGTGCGACTGCATATATTTCTCTGTCTTGAACTTTGATATTATTATTATTAGATCTGCACAGTAAGGTTATTATAAGTCACATCAGGTCACATCATAAATTGTGACCTGCTACATGAGGGTCACATATTTTAGCAAATGAGAGTCGACTGTAATGAAGAGGTGGCAAAAATATTAAAAACCATTTTGAACCTCTTCCCCTGTGCAGTAAATCACTTTGAATCATTTATTACTGATTTACAAAACGGCTACAGCAGGTTTACATATTTAGACAACAAACAGTAAATGTCATGATCTGTAAAACAGTGTTTGGCATCAAAAACAAAAAAATACATAATATTTTCTCCATTAATGTGAAGGAAATAAAGAAGCCATGAAGATTACAATCTTGGATGTTCTTGATGTCTGCAGCCTAAGAACCTTTGTAATCACAGCATTAATGCATAAATACATAAGAAAAACAAAACAATATTCTGACCTGTGGTGCTGAGTGGAGGTTTGCCATGATCTGTGGCCTCGGCTGTCAGAACCAGTGTGAAGTCTTCTGTTACATCAGCAAGGTCATAGGTCAGCGTCACTTCTCCTGTTTCACTGTCTAAGGCCAAATATGGTGAATGTCCTTCAGAGAAACTGCAACCAGAAATAAAGATTTAAGTGCAGGAATATTTTTAATGAGTTGGTGTGTTTGATTGAAACAAAGTTATTCACAACTTTAGTTTTTCCCTATTTTCACTAACACAAAGTATAACATAGCTGTGAGTACCTTTAAATCTCTTTTACCTGTTTAGAGTTGGATTTGAAATGTAATCAATTACGAATTTAATGATGGCACTTGAATTAATGTAATGTTTTGATTATTGATTCTATGTTGCATGACTTTGTGTTTGTTATGATGTAAAGCACTTTGAAATGCCTTGCTGATGAAATGTGATCTACAAATAACTGATCTGATTGATTGAGCTGTTGAATGGATGGCAAACACATGGTTTTCACATTCTTTACATTCAAACCTATGAAAATGCAAAATGCATTTTGTACTTATTAAGGAGACACTTTGGAGAACCACCTTTTGGAGTAGACAAGTCTTTTGTTTCTACCAACTTTAACACATTGAAGTTTTTACTCAATCTTCTTTGCAAAATATCTCCTGCACCATCAGATTGGAGAGTTTTTGTAACATCATTTTTCAGCTTTGCCAAAGATTCTCAATTTGATTTTACAAACATGCCTCCATTTTTTTCTAATTTTTTTCCTTTGCAAAAAACAAAAAAGATCCTGTTATATCAACTTCATCCTATTTTGTGATGGTTTGTGACTATAAATCTGTGTAAACTGCAGTTTGTGGTTGTAATGTGAGTTCAGAGCGAACCTGTAGGTGATGAGCGAGTTGTTCCCGGTGTCTTTGTCAGTGGCTCTCAGCGTCAGCACCAGCTGCCTCTTCTCCACGGTGCTGGTTTCATAGCTGCTGGAGCTGAACTCGGGTTTGTTGTCGTCGTCTGTGATGCTCACTCTGATGGTAGTGATATTCTAGAGCACAAGGTTTGACTTAATAAAGTGTTTTGCAAACAATAATACTGAATAGCTGCTTTAAAAGGGACTCATTATGCAAAATTCACACTT